GTGGCCCTCCTCTGGACCCTCTCCATGTTGTCCACATCCCTCCTGAAGTGCGGCGCCCAGAACTGGATGCAATACTCCAGCTGCGGCCTGACCAGTGCCGCATAGAGGGGGAGGAGCAATCTGCTGATTGCTAGCTACTGCAGGAGCTTTCCTTGCAGGTCTCTTTCACCACTGTCAGATTGCTATAGTGTTTCTTTTAACACCTGCTGGTGCCTCTGCCCAGTGGTAGCAAGTTAGGAAGGCAGGCTGGAAGGCCTCAACAGTGTGTGCAGGAGGGAGGCAGTGTCTGGGTGGGTTAGGGTTGCCAGCCTTCCAGGACTGATTGCCCTGGAGTCTCCAGGAATTAGATATAAATCTCCAGGAGACTGCTGAGAGTCACCCAGGAGATAAATGATAGGGAATTCATTAAAATAAATATTAACTGTTGAATCTGATTTATACAATAGTCTAATAGGTTTTTAAAATGTAATAGTAATGTGCATTTGCCTTCCTGAAGTAATGACTCATTAATGTCATTATGTAATGTAATGTAATCTCTGGGAACAGAGTCAAACAGAGTTGGCAACCTTAGAGTGGGCACTGAATATAATTTCCTCTGTTTACACATACTTGCTAGTCCTAAGGTAGCGGTCAAACAACATGCAGGGCAATCTCCTGCAGTGCTCAGGCCAATATCCATGCCTGGGAGCAGCTCAGCCTCAAAACATAATTCCAATTGGAGCAGCCCGTACTCTGCAGGGACTTCTGCCCGATAAGCCTTGCCCAGGTGGATATGAAGAGCTACGTTGCATGTCAGATAGGCATGAGCAGCCAGGCACTCGCATGCACAGATGTGGATGGTGTAGCAGTCCCTCTTGCTTCCCACTGTGCCACTGGACTGATCGAGGCAAGTGGAAGCGAGTCAAAAGGGGGAGCACAGTGCCTGGGCAGGGGAAGCAAGAGGAGCCGGGTGCTTTGGAGGGTGAGGGAACTTTGCTTTCCTGAGTCCCAGTGCCTTGGAGCATGGTCCACAGGCATGCTCCTCCCTAGGCTGTGCTGCTCCTAATTGCTGTGAGCGTCAGTACCAGTCCCTTGGCCTCTGTGCCTGTTGCAGCAGGTAGGGCAGCACAGCAGTGCTAAAGCAGCCTGCCGTCAGGCTCACTGGAAGGAGCAGTGAAAAGCCTCTCTGTATGGAGACCACAGATTCTAGGCCACTGTCAGGCAATGAGATCCCAGGTACTGGCTGCATGGGGTTGGCTGGGAGCAGACAGCCAGGAGCAGGGGAGAGCTGGGTGCTGAGGTGGGAGCCCCTGAGGCCCCAGGCTGAGCAAGGAAAGTATGGTGAGGTGCCCAGGGAAGGCTGCACTCATGGCCCAGCTCCCCAGGCTGAGGTGGTGCCCTCCAGCGAGGTGGGGGCCTCAGGCTGGGGAGCAGGAGATGACTCAGTTGCAGACTCCATTTCTGTTTCTGACAAAGCCACAGGGAGGGAAACCCCGTGGAGGGGCAGCAGGGCTGTGCCGACTCTCACAAGGCTGGCAGGCTGGAATTGCCCACCTCGCTGTTTCTTGTTGGGGAGGGTTTTTAAGGAAAATTTTTGTGTTCCAAGTTGAATCAGCCAAATAAATTCCAAATCCGCAAGTCACTCAAGAACCGTATGTGGCCCTGGTATCAGCAACCATCCTCCATCCCCGCCTGGGGCTTCAGTATGTGTAAGAGGTCACCCACACCTTGGACACATATGCCAAGGCAGGACTTTGGGGGAATCGAGGCTGCCCAGACCTTCCATCCCCTGCTTTAGGCCACTGAGACAAAATCCAAAGGCCCTGCTGAGTCCAAACGTTCAGTGCCTCTATGACTGTAGCTGCATATTGAACATGGGTCTTGTGGGTGGCAGACAGAGTGTACCACTGAACCACAGGGAATGCCAGGAGTCTGTAGAGACTCCAGTGATCCCAGCTGGAGTGCAAGCAGTGTGGCCTGACCCTAAGAGAAGAGACTGTGCCTAAAGGCTCAGTGCTCAGGCTCTGCAAAGTGCTGAATCTGCGGCCGTCAAGAGCCTCCTTGATGGGGCTCCCAGACCGGAAGGTTTCAGTTTTGAGTTTCGATTTCTGGACTGAGGTTTAAAAAGCATAGTGTCTTGGTGCTGGAGACTTATCTTGGACAACAACAGAGGCAACTGCCTGAAGCCCTTGCAAAGGTAGGTGTGTGGGCTGCATTAAGATCTGGGCTCCCCCCTTGGGTGATTTCATGCAGAGAGGTGCCTTAGAAAAAGGGGAGAAGCGCCAACCTCCTTTTGTCCCTGTCCACCCCTACCCAATGCCTGGGTGACAGCCATTGGCTGAGTGCCCTCTGCAGACAAGGGCCTCCCAGCTGACACACCTGGGGAGGCTTACAGGAAGCTCAGTGCTTGAAGATGTCACTGTAGCATCAGCATTAGGGTGGGGCTGGAGGGACAGCATCTGCCTGCTCAGCTGCATAGGAGACTGCAAGGGCTGGGGGAGGCCAGAGGATGGGGATGTGGGTGTACTGGAAGCTGTGAAGGGGAGGAAAGATGGGGAGCTGGGGGTCAGGTTCCTAGATCAGTGCTGATCCCAGCTGTGTTCCCTCCCCAGGCTCGTCCCCCACAGATCTCCAGTGCCTGCTCACATGGACCTGTACGACTATCAGTGGGAGGTGATCATGCCTGCCCTGGAGGGCCAGAACATCATCATCTGGCTGCCCACTGGTGCAGGGAAAACCCGAGCAGCTGTATATGTCTGCAAGAGGCACCTGGAGACCAGGGCTCAGGCCAAGGTGGCCGTGCTTGTGAACAAGGTATGGCTGGAATTGGAGTAGGGCTAGCTCACACCAGGGGTGGGACAGGGGGTGAGGGGATTCAACCAGTACAGCTAGGAGGTGGGCTCCCATCACCAGCTTCCTGTGCAGGAAGGCAGGAGCAAGTGCAGGGTGCAAGAGAGACACACGATGGAGCTAGTGTCCTGCTGTATGAGCCAGGCCTGACCGGCTACCAGGTCTGCTCTTTGTATTGGGGACCCCCATGGACCTGGAGCCCTCTCGCTCTCAGCTTTGTGAGCTGTGCACAGCATGCCAGGCACCCCCACTGAAGTGGGAGATGGTGTCTTGGATCCATTGGGTCCACCCTTGGAGGAGAGATCTGTTCGCACAGGGGCTGCAGGAGCACCCAGAGCCTTTAGCTGTGTACACCACATGCCTCGTGTCTTGTTCCAGATGTCTCTGGAAGCTGCAGCCAGGGGCAGATGCAGAGGGGCGCACCCCTTTTCAGTCAGTGCCATGGGAACAGAAGTCAGGGATTTTATTTAAGTCCCTGAAGGAAGTAATAATTCCCCCATCCTTTCTCCTCTTCAGCACATCCTTTTCCTTCTCATTCCCCCTGCCTGCCACCACTGCTATTCCCATGGGGTTACTCTTGTTAACTCAACTGCCAGCAAAGGCAGAGCTTTGGGTTCAAACTTTGCTGGGTACGGTTCTTTGTGCTGAGACGCTAGAAGTCTTTTCCATTCAGTTCTGAGAGGAGTTGTCTGCCCTGTGGGAGGGCACTGGAGGACTCGGAGGATTTAAGCAATATAGGCAAGTTCCAGCCACAGTTAAAAGTAGAGACTGGGTTCTTACTCCCCCCCGGCCCACCTCCCCAGCCTGGGTCTGCAAGCCTGGACTCACAGAACTGCTGAGCCAGCACCAGAAAAGTTTCCATGTGGCTGGAGGGCAGAGTTTTAAGGCTAACCCCTGGGTCGGATGCTGAATGTACAAGTATCCTGTCTCGGCATGGGGGTGGCTTGTCTGTCCATGTCTATGGAGCAAAAGGGGCTGTTGGCCTGTAGGGTAACTCAGGTCAGGGCTGGCTCCCCAGGCTCTACTCTGGCCCACAGGGGCTATTGCTTATAAGTCTGCGGGATGTGGCCGGCAGGTGCATCTGGTGGACCAGCACTTCAGCAAGGAATTTGGGGTGCTCAGGAGCTCCTTCCAGGTCACCCCCATCAGTGGCGACAGTGATCAGAAATTTACCTTCTCCCACGTGGTGAAGAACAATGATGTGGTGATCTGCACGGCACAGATCCTGCACAACGCCCTGTCCAGCTCGGAGGAGGAGATGCACGTGGAGCTGACAGGTGGGTGCCTGGCACATGGGGCTGCAGCAAAGATGGGTCCCACCAGCTCTGTCAAATCAAAGCTGACTGATGCCAGCTGAGGACCTGAGTATTGGGGAAACTTAGCCAGATCCTGGGTGGTGAGGGAGGGGTTTGGGAGGGTGGGAGTTAGGAGTATCCCACTATTGTCACCACCTGTCATGGAATCAAGCCATCTTTGAGAGGAAGCTCTGCCTCAGGACTCCCCAAGGAGATGCCTTATCCAGTCTCCCTTTTCCGAGAGGACTGACTTCCTGAAGCTAGTCCTGGC